TTGTTGTAGTTCATTTTTAATTTATGTTGTGCAAATAAAGCCAGTTGTGACTAATTTCGTGTGCTAAATTGTTTATCAAGCTTCTATCAATGGAGTGGGTGAATTAAAATAGATAAATCAAGATTAGAAGACTTTGACAAACATTGCTTTCAGTGTTACTGGTGTTAAGCAAACTTAGCAAGTGACATGTAAGATTGAAAAAACCTAAAGTTTAGATGTCTGCAAAACTACCCAGTTTTAAATGCAGAGATGCATACCATATACCATTTTTATAATACATTTTTTAATAAATGTAAATACAGTCAAATTTAAATACACTTTACATTGGCAAAATTAAAAACCACATGCTTCCATCTCTGTAATGCTGTGGTTTGGGTTAACCAGGAAAGTAAGATGGGACAGTTATGAAAGATCTGCTAAAATCTGCCAATATAACATGCATTGTTTTGGTGCTTTGTGACAGAAGGCCTAGTTCACCAAATCTGCTTGGCAACAGGCTCTGGTCCTCACACATGTAGAAAAAAAAGATTTTTTATTTTTTTAATTTCGAGTTTTCTGAATTCTGAAGTGACATTTTGATTCTCTATTGCCACCTCATGATAGATTTGTGTTTTGCACCATTGTAGCTATAGTAGAAATGGTGGCCCTCATAAAGAAGTGACAGAACGTGGGCCACACAAAGGCATAAAAACATGTATGTGTGTGTGTGTTTGAGAAAGAAAGCGTAGTCCTACACCCTGAGGAATACTGGAGTGTGGCTATTGAAATGAAACATAAAATGTAAGGGGTAATTATGCAAAAACCATAAAAGATATAAAAAAGCTGTTTAGATTATGAATAGCTGAAGAGTTGTAAATAGTTAACAGTTGAAATAGTGTTTTTAGCTGAAGGTATGCTGAAGATATCAAGATGTGAAAATTTTTCCCAAGTCCAGGTCCAGTGTAAAGCAGTGGTCTGCCCTGCTGCCTTTAAGACCCAGAGGTTCTGTGAGATGCTGAGGGAGATCTGCCCAGAGATCGACACAACACGAGTGGGCACAATCAAAAGCTCCAGGTACGACAGGTTTCTGAAAATCTGAGAAAAAAAAAAGTTAAAACATAACACATGGCTTTCCTCTATCGTGATTATGGAGTAAGAGCCAAAAAAAAACTTCACAAAGGACAGAATATAACTAGTGGATTTTTGGATACAATATAAACCAATCAGCCATAAGTTTATGACCACTGACGGGATGTGAATAACATCCATTATCTTGTTACAATAGCACCTGTAGGTATGTGGTGTATATTAGGGAGCAAGTGATCATTCAGTCCTCAAAGTTGATGTGTTGGAAGCAGGAAAAACAGGCAAGTTTAAGGATCTGAGTGACTTTGACAAGGGCCAAACTGTGATGGCTGACGACTGGGTCAGAGCATCTCCCAAAATGCAGGTCTTGCTGGGACCACAAACAGACCTGCTCTCTAAGAGCGAAGTGCTGTGTTAGGATGATAAGGCACTATGAGATACGATGGGGCCTTGTCATTAAGGGCTTTGTATGTTAGGAGAAGGATTTACGATGGGACCTTGTAATTAAGGGCTTTGTATGTTAGGAGAAGGATTTTAAATTCTATTCTGAATTTTACAGGGAGCCAGTGGAGGGAAGCTAATATGGGAGAGATATGATCTCTCCTGCTAGTTCCTGTCAGTACTCTGGCTGCAGTATTTTATAGTAACTGGAGGCTTTTTATGGAGTTGGTGGAACATCCCGATAGTAAAGAGTTACAGTAGTCCAGCCTGGAAGTAACAAATGCATGGAGCAGTTTTTCAGCATCTCTTTGAGACAGGATGCTCCTGATATTGGCAATATTGCGTAGGTGAAAGAAGGCAGTTCTTTTATGTGCTATTTAATCATCTCAGGACACTCTACAAAGTAAGGTCTAGACCTTACTGCTATCACTATTATTACATAGGGAAAACCCAACAAATCCCCCTTGAGCAAGCACTTGGCAACAGTGGGGAGGAAAAACTCCCTTTAATGGAAGAAACCTCCGACAGACCCCAGCTCTTGGTGGGCGGCCTTCTGCCTCGACCAGTTGGGGTGAGTGGATAGAGAAGAGAGAAAAGAAGAAAAGCAACAAG